CAGATATTTACATTTAAGTTGGTATGTTCTTACCTTAATTTCTACAGCCCAAACTTGGCACCGTTGGTCTGTTGTAGTGTCTCACTCCTGGCCCTGTTTGAAACAATAACCTTCCGTTCAAATTAAGTAAATACTGTGTAAGACAAAACAGATAGGCAAGGTCTCATCTGGGCTAAACGACTGTACATACCTCCATGGCTATCATCCACATGGTGCTGTGTTGAATACGATGCTCGGGCTGGCCATTGCCCTAATTGAAAGACACACCAGATTACATAAATAAAGGGGTTTCTTTCTCTTTTGAATGTACATATAACTTTAGTCAATGTTGCTAGCTAGCTAACTAACGTAAATGTGCCACCAACTACTGTTTGTAGTGTGCATTTCTCTATTGGATGGATTGAGAGTATGAATCCTAGACTGTAGCCTACATTGGGGTCCAAAATTATTGACACCCTTGAAAAAGATAATGACTGTATAAAGTAAATAATTCATACTGAGCTATATTGTATGCTCCCCAAATTTTTTTTCGACAACTACATTTTTTTCTCAAAGAGTCAATATTATCGACATCCCTAAAGTGTCTTATAAATAAAGTAGCCAAGTTTAGTATTTGGTCCCATATTTCTAGCATCAAGCTTGTGACTCTTCAAACTTGTTGGATGCTGTATGCTTTTTATTCTTGGATGCAGTATGCTTTTGATACTTGGGGGTATCAAAAGTCATACCCCCAAGACATGCTAACCTCTCACCATTACTAATAACAGTCGAGGTTAGCATGTCTTGGGGGTATGATCTTTGACCCTCTAACTTTGTCACTCATCATTATTCACGATTCATTCAGGATTATCCGTAATCATGGTAGCATCCACATTAATGTAAAAGAGTTTAGAAAAATATTATCTTCTTATTTACAATAAAAGTGACTCAAATTATACAATACCTTATTCATAATTAATTTGTATTGGGCACAAAATAATCTGAAACACAACCAAAACACGTTTTTAGTCCCAAGCCTAACGTAGTCATTGTATGCTAGGAATATGGGACCTAATACTAAACTTTTGACTAATTTATTTATAAGAATCTTTAGGGGTGTCAATAATTTTGACCCTGAGAAGAAAGAAATACACTACCGGTCAAAAGTTTTAGAACACCTACTCATTCAAGGGTTTTTCTTTATTTTTACTATTTTCTACATTGTAGAATAATAGTGAAGACATAAAATCTATGAAATAACACATGGAATCAAGTAGTAACCAAAACAGTGTTAAACAAATCGGAATATATTTTATATTTGAGGTATACAGAAGATAGCCCTATTTGGTAAAAGACCAAGTCCATATTATGGCAAGAATAGCTAAAGTAAGCAAATAGAAACGACAGTCCATCAATACTTTAAGACATGAAGGTCAGTCAATAGTACAGTGGCAAAAATCATCAAGCGCTATGATGAAACTGGATCTCATGAGGACCGACACAGGAATGGAAGACCCAGAGTTACCTCTGCTGCAGAGGATAAGTTCATTAGAGTTACCAGCCTCAGAAATTGCAGCCCAAATAAATGCTTCACAGAGTTCAAGTAACAGACACATCTCACCATCGACTGTTCAGAGGAGACTGTGTTAATCAGGCCTTCATGGTTGAATTGCTGCAAAGAAACCACTACTAAAGGACACCAATAATAAGAAGAGACTTGCTTGGGCCAAGAAACACGAGCAATGGGCATTAGACCGGTGGAAATGTGTTCTTTGGTCTGGAGTCCAAACTGGAGATTTTTGGTTCCAACCGCTGTGTCTTTGTAAGACGCGGTGTGGTTGAACGGATGATCTCCGCATGTGTATTTCCCAGCGTAAAGTGTTATGGTGTGGGGGTGCTTTGCTGGTGACACTGTCTGTGATTTATTTAGAATTCAAGGCACACTTAACCAGCATGGCTACCACAGCATTCTGTAGCGATACGCCATCCCATCTGTTTTGGGCTTAGTGGGAGTATCATTTGTTTGTCAACAGGACAATGATCCAACACACCTCCAGGCTGTGTAAGGGCTATTTTACCAAGAAGGAGAGTGATGGAGTACTGCATCAGATGACCTGCCCTCCACAATCCCCCGACCTAAACCAAATTGAGATGGTTTGGGATGAGTCGGACCACAGAGTGAAGGAAAAGCAACCAACAAGTGCTCAGCATATGTGGGAGCTCCTTCAAGACTGTTGGAAAAGCATTCCAGGTGAAGCTGGTTGAGAGAATGCCAAAAGTGTGCAAAGCTGTCATCAAGGCAAAGGGTGGCTATTTGAAGAATCTCAAATATGAAATATGTTTTGATTAGTTTAACACTTCTTTTGGTTACTACATGATTCCATATGTGTTATTTCATAGTTTTGATGTCTTCACTATTATTCTACAATGTAGAAAATAGTAAAAATAAAGAAAAACCCTTGAATGAGTAGGTGTTCTAAAACTTTTGACCGGTAGTGTATACTTGTTAAACAAAATGTATTTCTCCAAGCAATTGTATTAGTATAAAATAATATAATTTCCCCCCTTCTTTTTTTTTTTGTTGCATGCAATATAGCGTAGTATTTCAATTATTTTATACAGTCATTATTTCTGACCTTTAACAAGGTTGTCAATCATTTCTGTCCCCACTGTATATCAAAAACCTTAACGCAATTAACATTACTTTGTCAAAGGAGGTTAAAAAGTGGGTAGATCGATTTTACTCTCACTATTATTGGTCACAGTTCAAAAGGCTAACATCCTCCCAATTAAATGGCAATGGATTCCAACAGTTTAGCAATGCAGGCTTAATTACTTACATTGCAAGTTGCAACATTGGATGTGGCTTCGATTTGAACATAGGTTGAAGCAATGCAATTTAGTAATGACATTTACATGTAGGCTATGAATTAATGGCCTAATAGGCTAGAATTGGTTTCATGACCATGGACAATTTCACCCTTAATGACAGTGATCAAGACTTTTCTTCAAGTGGATGAGGTGGTTTAGTGAGTGGCATCTCTTAATAAAGCAAAACCCTTTATTTCCTAGAACGAAACAGTTTGTATTTCCTCATATAGTATCCTATATTAAATCAATTGACATTTTACATTTTAGTCATTTAGCAGACGCTCTTATCCAGAGCGACTTACAGTAGTGAGTGCATACATTTTCATACTAGCAAATGTAGGCTATTTTGGGGCATAATCAATATATCATTAATCTATTTAAACTGTACATTTTTAAGTATATACATTTGTGTCATCCTCAATTATTTTAAATGCATTATGTTCACGTGTGGTTGTATTGTGTTTTGAAATTGGCAAATAAATCACAACAAATGGAAGGTTTTAATAACAACAAAAACAGCTTGCGGCCACTGGCTGGCCATGGTTACCTGAAAGGTGGCAGGCCATATTTGTGATTTAGAAAAATTCCTTGCTATTGTCTTTCAAATGAACTCATGGCTAGATGGCTTGCCGAGGGCTTATAGGAGTCCTCTGAATGGGGGCTACCCGGAAGAGATGCAAATCACGTTTTAAATTGCAAAACGCCGCTCGTCCCGCTGGCGGTTAGGCCTATAAAATGAATAACTGCTGATCATAACCATTAAGGACATACAGTATGGTTAACTAACTGCTAACTGAAGCAGGTAATTGTCATGAGGGTAAATGGCTTTTCTAAACTGGTGACTTGGGTTGCAAAATGCATGTCTGGTTTTATTATGAGTAACTGTTCTTGCTCTCGTAAAGATAGACACACAGGAGCACCCATATTCGGGCAATACCGTGGGAAGGTCAAATATAGGGGAGGGGGAGGCGGGGGAGGACTGGGACAGGCAATGTAACATCCATTACATTTTTTAGGAAACGTTTTTGTAAGACATGCACCTTCCATCGGATCATCTTGAAACATTCTCTGTAAAGCTAACTTTCATCAAGGTTTTACATGGTCTAGTATTGGTTTGTCTTTTCATTGTCAGTGTCCTTTTTTAGCGTTATGATATCCATAACGGTTGTGGATGTGATGGATAATAATGTATCTTATCTTAGCTTCAGAAGATTGTGCATTCACTACATTTTGTGTGCTTATTATGGGATGTTCTTCAGACTTTACAGAAACATTTTATATCTTGAAAATGGTGTTCTATCTAAGATTATTTTGGAAAATATATGCGGAAATGAATTTGTCATATATGGCAGTACTATTTTTGAAATAAAGATGAGAAGAGTGTTTATCAACAGTCTGTGAATAGTCCTGGAGTGATTATTCTATTTTTTATGAAAGCCCCTCAAAATATACTGACTTCATCCAATGTCCAGAAAAGTGATATTCCAAATAAAATTCCTGTAAAACGGCTTTGAATGGCATTCCTTATCTTAATTCTACTAAACAACTTGACATTGTGCAAGAAGTTCCTGTACCTGGGAGTCTGTGCTGTAAAATATTGCCATAAAAACACACCTTATTAATAAAAAGGCTGCATAATGGAGTTTTCCAACTCAGTAAGTATTGGCTCTGTCAAGTAGGTGCTAATGTTCTCAGGAGACAGAAGCTGCAGGCAGTCACATCATCTTAAACAAAGGAATTCACTCAAGTAGGAAAGGAAAGGCATATTGCCCACCCAGCATGTGAACTCTAGTTGTATGATCTATTGAAAGTGAAGCCAATTCAAAAGCAAGGGAATAGTGAAATGCGTTGTTATTGTGAGGTGTAGGGTAAATGTGTGCTTTTTTCACAGATAATTTTCATGTTTTAAATTATCCTATGTTGAAGTAATTGGAACAACAATTCTCTATCTATGCCATCATTTTCCCCATTTACTCTTATATTTGGATTTGTATTGGAATGCTATTGTTAACCCCACAGATTAACCTCTTTACTGTATCAGTGTTCTATCTGTGCCCTAATCGACTGTTTCTCTCCTCAGTCTTTGACCCCAGGTGTGAAGCAGCTAGCTGACCTAGCTGAACACTAGGTGGACCTACGTTTTGGGGAAAATGCACTCAAGTGTTGAGGTGCCCCCGAACACCCCTGTTGCCAGCAACCACAACAACAGTCCCGGAAACACAGGTTCTCAGTATGCCTTGTGTGCCCTGGGGGTGGGACTGGTGGCCCTGGGCATTGTCATGATCGTGTGGACTGTGGTGCCTTCCGACATGGCCGGGAACAACAGCAGTGGCACCGGAGGAGGGAACCCGAAACCGGACACTAGGGGGAGGACTTCATCGGTGGCCTTTGTGCTGGTCGGGGCTGGGGTGGCCATGCTCCTGCTGTCCCTGTGCCTGGGGATGAGGAACAAGCAGCGGGAGCAGCAGGCGCTCCTAGAGGCCCAGGCTCTGGGGGCAGGCAACGTAGCTGCCAGTGAGGAGGATGGAGAGATGTGAGTACTGTAGCTACTGAGTTAGTTATTGAGCTAATTAATGACCTCAGCAGGTTTGTTTTCTCAGGGTTCAGTGCAGGGGTGGGCGATCTCTTTATTACTTTACTAACCTTTTGACTGCTCCTAGATGTTTAACATCGCATTATGCACACCAGATGACGCCATCAGTGTTTCCGGATGATGTCATCTGAAACACTTATTTCTATCTTTTTGAATACAAAACATAATAAAAACTTGCCATTCTCATATTTATTGATGTTGGGGTGGTGCTGGAGATGATGAATATTGCCCTTTAATCTACGAGGGCTGGTGTATAGGAGCAGGTTTTGGTGTCTGCCAATGCTCTAACACATGTTCAGCTGATTCAACTACATTGAACAAAAATATAAACGCAACATGTAAAGTGTTTGTCCCATGTTTCATGAGCTGAAATAAAATATCCCAGAAATGTTCCATACACATACAAACCTTATTTACAGTGCATTCTGAAAGTATTCAGACCCCTTGACTTTTTCCACATGTTATGTTACAGCCTTACAAAAATGGATACAATTGGTTTTTTCCCTCATCAATCTACACACAAAACTCCATAATAACAAAGCAAAAACAGGTCTGTATCAATCTTTGCAAAAATAAAACCTGAAATAACACATTTACATAAGTATTCAGACCCTTTACTCTTTGTTGAAGCACCTTTGGCAGTAATTACAGCCTCAAGTCTTCTTGGGTATGACGCTACAAGCTTGGCACACCTATATTTGGGGAGTTTCTCCCATTCTTCTCTGCAGATCCTCTCAAGCTCTGTTAGGTTGGATGGGGAGCGTCGCTGCATAGCTATTTTCAGGTCTCTCCAGAAATGTTCGATCGGGTTCAAGTCCGGGCACTGGCTTGGCCACTCAAGGACATTCAGAGACTTGTTCCGAAGCCACTCCTGCGTTGTCTTGGCTGTGTGCTTAGGGTCGTTGTCCTGTTAGAAGGTGAAACCTCGCCCCAGTCTGAGGTCCTGAGCACTCTGGAGCAGATTTTCATCAAGGATCTCTATATACTTTGCGCCGTTCATCTTTCCCTCGATCCTGACAAGTCTCCCTGTCCCTGCTGCTGAAAAACATCCCAACAGCATGATGCTGCCACCACCATGCGTCACCGTAGGGATGGTGGCAGGTTTCTTCCATGGTCTGAGAGTCCTTTAGGGGCCTTTTGGCAAACTCCAAGCGGGCTGTCATGTGTCTTTTACTGAGGGGTGGCTTCCGTCTGGCCACTCTACCATAAATGCCTGATTGGTGGAGTGCTGCAGAGATGGTTATCCTTCTGGAATGTTCTCCCATCTCCACAGAGGAACTCTGAAGCTCTGTCAGTGTGACCGTCGGGTTCTTGGTCACCTCCCTGACCAAGGCCCTTCTCCCCCAATTGCTCAGTTTGGCCAGGCAGCCAGCTCTAGGAAGAGGTGGTGGTTCCAAACTTTTTCCATTTAATAATAATGGAGGCCACTGTGTTCTTGGGGACCTTCAATGCTGCAAAAATGTTTTGGTACCCTTCCCCAGATCTGTACCTCGATACAATCCTGTCTTGGAGCTCTACGGACAATTTCTTCGACCTCATGGCTTGGTTTTTACTCTGACATGCACTGTCAACTGTGGGAACTTATATAGACAGGTGTGTGCCTTTCCAAATAATGTCCAATCAATTGAATTTACCACAGGTGGACTCCAATCAAGTTGTAGAAACATCTCAAGGATGAAACAGGATGAACCTGAGCTCAATTTCGAGCCTCATAGCAAAGGTCTGAATACTTATGTAAATAAGGTATTTCTGGGGTTTTTATTTGATATAAATTTGCAACATTTTCAAAAAAAACTGTTTTTACTTTGTCATTATCGGGTATTGTGTGTAGATTGAGGATTTTTGTATTTATTTAATCAATTTTTAGAATAAGGCTGTAACAAAATGTGGAAAAGGGGAAGGGGTCTGAATACTTTCCGAATGCACACATTTGTTTACATCCCTGTTAGTGAGCATTTCTCTTTTGTCAAGATAATCCATCCACCTGACATGTGTGGCATATCAAGAAGCTGATTCAACAGCATTATCATTACACAGGTGCACCTTGTGCTGGGGACAATAAAAGGCCACTAAATGTTCAGTTTTGTCACACAACACAGTGCCACAGATGTCTCAAGTGTTGAGGGAGGTTGCAATTGGCATGCTGACTGCAGGAATGTCCACCAGAGATGTTGCCAGAGAATTGAATGTTAATTTCTCTACCATAAGCCGCCTCCAACAACGTTTTAAACAATTTGGCAGTACGTCTAACCGGCCTTACAACCACAGACCACGTGTAACCACGCCAGCCCAGGACCTCCACATCCAGCTTCTTCACCTGTGGGATCGTCTGAGACCAGCTACCCGGACAGCTGATGAAACTGTGGGGTTGCACAACCGAAGAATTTCTGCACAAACTGTCAGAAACCGTCTCAGGGTAGCTCATCTGCGTGCTCGTCATCCTCACCGGGGTCTTGACCTGACTGCAGTTTGGCATCAGTGGGCAAATGCTCACCTTCGATGGCCACTGGCATGCTGGAGAAGTGTGCTTTTCACGGATGAATCCCAGTTTCAACTGTACCGGGCAGATGGCAGACTGCGTGGTTTGCTGATGTCAACATTGTGAACAGAGTGCCCCATGGGGACGGTGGGGTTATGGTTTGGGCAGGCATAAGCTACAGACAACGTACACAATCACATTTTATCGATGGCAATTTGAATGCACAGAGATATCTTGTTGAGATCCTGAGGCCCATTGTCGTGCCATTCATCCGCCGCCACCACCTCATGTTTCAGAATGATGATGCACGGCCCCATGTCGCAAGGATCTGTACACAATTCCTGGAAGCTGAAAATGTCCCAGTTCTTCCATGGCCTGCACACTCACCAGACATGTCACCCATTGAGCATGTTTGGGATGCTCTGGATGGCTGTGTATGACAGCGTGTTCCAGTTCCCGGCAATATCCAGCAACTTCCCACAGCCATTGAAGAGGAGTGGGACAACATTCCACAGGCCACAATCAACAACCTGATCAACTCTATGCGAAGGAGATGTGTCGCGCTGCATGAGGCAAATGGTGGCCACACCAGATACTGACAGATTTTCTGATCCATGCCCCTTCCTTTTTTTAAGGTATCTGTGACGAACAGATTCATATCTGTATTCCCCAGTTATGTGACATACATAGATTAGGATCTAATGAATGTATTTAAATTGACCCATTTCCTTATGAACTGTAACTTAGTAAATTCTTTGAAATTGTTGCATGTTGCGTTTTATTTTTGTTCACTGTGGTTAGTTGATTAGTTCGATCATGTGAATGTCTTTGCTTTGGCTGGAGCAAAAGCCAGCACCCACACTGGTCCTTTGCTATTTACATTGCTTACCCATGTTTTAGTGCTTCTTTGAATTTCTCTGCAGTGCTTTGTTAAGTAACTTTTCAGTTCAAGCCCCATGACGTAAACCCCACATAACCTGTTTTATTTGGGCACCTGTTGCAATAAAGCCATGTGAAGCCATCAGGACTGTATTTAACAGCACACACTGCATAGCCTACAGTACACAGTATCAACAATATAGAAGACAAACACAATCCATTCTGAAAGCGCATAGTTACTCATGTCTGTCTGTGTGTTTCTGTATGAATGTCAACAGGGCAGAGGATCGAGCCCAGAGGTACACTGTGCCCAGCTACGAGGAAGTGGTAGGCAGTGGCGAGTACCCCATACGCCAGAGCAACTTGCGCCACAGCTCCTCCCAGCTGCCTTCTTACGACGACCTGGTGGACGGTGTGCAGATTGAGCTGGAAGGGTCAGAGGTCACCCAGACGACACCCGCTTCCGCTAACCCTGCCTCCTCCGCTGCTGCTGCTCCTAACCGCCGCACTGGGCGAACAAGTCTCAAGCTCCTTCCCCTTAAGATCCGGAGGATTAAATCGGAGAAGCTCTTTATGGATAACTCTCAGCCACCGGGAGGGATCAGTATTGAGCCGCTCACTCCACCACCAATGTATGAGGATAAAGCGCCCGAGCTCTGAGACTTGGCACCTTCTAGGTTTCAAAGCAGGCAACTGCAGCCACTGCGGTCCACTATGCGTGGATTGGTTGTGCAGTGCTACTATAGATGTGATCAGATGGCCCTTGTCATGCATCCGTGGCTAAATAATCTCGATGACACTTGTCATGCCTACCTGGCTGAGGACTTTTCTTTAGACCTGCAACTCAAGGGCAGTGAACACAGTTCCAAACGTGGGGCACTGGGATTTGACTAGAACTTTGGGTCAACACTAATGTTGCTGGACAGAGGGAACACATCCGAGTTCCGACTGATTTACAAGGACATTGAAGCTTACAGGGACATTGAAGCTCGGTTCAAAGGATCAATATTATTGGGGGAAATACTCAGCTTTGTCTTTGATGCCTTTGTTACTTTACAACAAATACTTACTCTGGTCCAAATCTCCTTTGTATGCAGTTGACCATACTTTGTTATGTTCATCTGTCTGCTATATTATTTAAAGTTCCTTCTTCATCCTCAGTCCAGTCAGCCACGTGTGCTATATGTATTAGTATTATTCATGTCTAAGTTTTGTATTCTGTACAGCAACTTAGACAGCTACTCCTCACATTTTGGGAGAGGTGTTATTTGGCGACTGACTCAATGGCCGTCTTACTCAGACAGTGTTTGTGTGTTGCTGCCTGTGTTGCTCGTCAATAGAGGACAATTGAGAGAGCGAGAGAGAGAGACCAAGGCTCTTGAGAGAGCGAGAGAGAGAGAGACCGAGGCTCATGGATAGTTAGAAGCCTTTGCACTGTAGTCATGGTGAAATGGGGATGAGCTCTGAAGGCAGTAGTGTAGTCCAGCTCTTTTCCTTGGCTGTTTTTTTTTTTGCTCAATAGAGGAGAACACAGGGGGGACTTTCTCTGAGCAGCTGGGAGCTGGGATAATGGCACCCATTGCTCACTCACTCATCACTCTTGAACTAATCTTCACTAGCTCCTTGACTGGCAGCACTGTTTTCAGAGAATGAAATTCTGGTGTCCATGGTTTGACCCCATTTTGTTAAGTGGAGCAAAAAGACTTCAGTGCCTTTATCTTTCTAGTCTGTCTGTTTCATGCTTATGAGAGAATGGAAATTAGCGAATCCATTAAGTGTTTGGAATTCTAGAATGTTATTTTCTTATCATACAGATGCTATTTTCTGATGTCATGTTGATGAACCTGTTCAGCAACTATTCACTACTTTTAGGTGGGAACACAAACTGTACACAACAGTAGCCTTCTTTGCATAAGTGAACACTTAATAAACTAGCAAATGCTCACAAAATGCATACCTATGCACACAGAACAAGAATAGGCTTTTTTAAGGAGAATTGAATTGCTAATTTACTATACTCAACAAAAATATAAAAGCAATATGTAAAGTGATGGTCCCATGTTTCATGAGCTGAAATAAAAGATCCTAGTCATTTTCCATACGCACAAAAAGCGTATTTCTCTCAAATGTTGTGCACAAATTTGTTTGCATCCCTGTTAGTGACCATTTCTCCTTTGCCAAGATAATCCATCCACCTGACAGGTGTGGCATATCAAGAAGCTGATTAAACAGCATGGTAATTACACAGGTGCACCTTGTGCTGAGGACAATAAAAGGCCACTTTAAAATGTGCACAATGCCTTAGATGTAACGTTTTGAGGGAGCGTGCAATTGTCATGCTGCCTGCAGGGGGTGCGGAGGAGTGTTTCTGTCTGTAATAAAGCCCTTTTGTGGGTAAAAACTCATTCTGATTGGCTGGGCCTGGCTCCCAAGTGGGTGGGCCTATGCCCACCCATGGCTGCACCCCTGCCCAGTCATGTGAAATACATAGATTAGGGCCAAATTAATTTATTTCAATTAACTGATTTCCTTATATGAACTGTAGCTCAGTAAAATCTTTGAAATTGCTGCATGTGCGTTTATATTTTTGTTCAGTGCAGTTTGTACATGTAAAATAGCATGCGCGTCATGTACATTTAGTTTTATATCAATTTTGTATCTGCTCTGAATAAAGGTTGTTCTTACAATATTGTTGACGGTATTTGTAGTTGTCATGCCTAGGCAGTGCTGTATGTACCTCGGTCTGTGTGTGTGTGTGTGTGTGTGTGTGTGTGGGGGACCATTTTTGGCTGTGAGGAATCAGTGGTTCATACCATGTTCTGTACTTAAGAGGACACTTCACTCTAAAATGAAAGTTTGTCAGATGTTTTCAAACCTCAAAAGGAGCCTTATGTTAAGAAACGTACACATCCCGAGCCATTGGTTTTGTAGATCAAACGATAATGTCACAACACCAAATGAATGGGAAATATGAGCACCTGAGATGCTGATCTGTTTATGAATGAAACATTGTGCCCATTGTGCTCATCTTTTCCATTCATAAGCAGATCAGCACCAAGATAAGCACCATGGTGTTCATCTTTTCCATTCATAAACAGATTGTGCTCATCTTTTCCATTCATTTGGGATTGATGAATATAGCTGTATCTATACAATCAATGGTGTTGGACATGGATCCATCTTCACATTAAACATCTGACAAACTTAGATTTTGGAGTGTAATGTCCATTTAAGAATATTCTTATGTGGAACAGAAACACTGTTCATGAGTTCAATGGACTTTTCTCTCAACCAGCTGTATGTATAACTTTAATTCAGATAATTTCAAATACATTATTTGTAAACAACATGATTGATTTGTATGACTAAATACCCTTTTGTATGTATCGTGAAAGTATGTTTTTGTAGGAGGAGTTCTGTCTGTTTATGTTTGACTTCAAGAGGTGTTCAGAATGTTGCATTCTGTGGACACTAAAGGATATGAGTGTATTGAGACCACAGTTTTATTGCAAATAGGTCCTGTGACTTACTGGTTTTCAGTAACCACGCTAACATGTGTTTCTGGGAAATCATTAAGCATGCCAGTGCCATACTTCCTGCAATGTATATGGTTGAGATAATGTAGGTGATACAGTGCCTTCAGAAAGTATTCACACCCCTTGACTTTTTCCACATTTTTTGTTACAGCCTGAATTTAAAATGGGTTACATTTAGATTATATGTCACTGGCCTACACACAATATCCCATATAGACATTTTTACAAATTAATTTAAAATGAAAAGCTGAAATGTCTGGAGTCAATAAGTATTCAACCCCTTTGTTATGGCAAGCCTAAATAAGTTGGGGAGTAAAAATTTGCTTAACAAGTCGCATAATAGCTTGTGTGGACTCACTCTGTGTGCAATAATAGTGTATAACATGATTTTTTAATGACTACCTCATCTGTGTACCCCACACATACAATTATCTGTAAGGTCCCTTAGTCGAGCAGTGAATTTCAAACACACTAGCAATGATCAACAACCAATTTGACAGAACTTGAAGAATTCTGAAAATAATAATGTGCAAATGTTGCACAATCCAGGTGTTGAAAGCTCTTAGACTTACCCAGGAAAACTCACAGCTGTAATCGCTGCCAAAGGTGCTTCTACAAAGTATTGACTCAGGGATGTGATTACTTATATAAATGAAATATTTATGTATTTCATTTTGAATACATTTGCAAACATTTCTTAAAACATGTTTCACTTTGTCATTATGGTGTATTGTGTGTAGATGAGTGAGAGAAAAAATTATATTTCATCCATTTTGAATTCAGGCTGTAACACAACAAAATGTGGAGTAAGTCAAGGGGTATGAATACTTTCTGAAGGCACTGTATCTAGCCTGGTCCCAGATCTTTTTGTGCTGTCTTGCCAGTTGTGCTGTCTTTCCAGTTGACAAGACGGCACAAACAGATTGTGGACCAGGCTAGGGGATATCTGTACTTTTCCACTATACTCTTCACCTTTTCTTGGTTACTGTAAAGCTGGATGAAGAGGAAACAAAGCATGAGAATGTTGGCTTCTTCTCTTGTCAGTGTTGAATCTTTGTTGTGTTCTCAAGGTCATTCTCTGTGAGAAAGACACTAATTTTCAAAGCGCTGGCTTTTAAAAAGTTCCATAAAACCCTGTGTTAGTCATTACTGTACTTAAACGCTGTTAACAGAATTACTTTGGTGTCTGAGAGCCTTTAACTCAAGATAAGGATTTCTGTTTGGCTTTTACATGTACAGATTTTACCTTGCTTCCCTCTAGTGGTAGAGTACTGTAAACTTTTCAATACACATTTTATAATTAGGGACCATAGTATTTCTTGATCAGGTAGTGTACTCCTGGCCCTATTGGCATCCCTTTAATATTTAATCACATTCATTGAGAAAATGTAAAACAAAAGACCGTAAGTGACACATTACTTCCCTATAACTTTTGAACAACATTGTAAACCATTACTACTGCGTACATTCAAAATGTGGTATCAATATAATTTAACATGCCTTTCGAGCTGACACGACCGACACAGTATCTGAAATGACAAATAAAATAAAACCACATTTTATTGGTCATGTACATGTGTTTAGCAGATGTTATAGCGGGTGTAGCGAAATGCTTTTGACAGTTCAGAAATATCTAACAAGTAATATCTAACAATTTCACAACATACATCCAATACACACATCTAAGTAAGGAATTAATTAAGAATATATACATAGATGGACGAGTGATGTCAGAGCGGCATGGACTAAGATACAGTAGAATAGTATAGAATACAGTATATACATATGAGATGAGTAATGCAAGATATGTAAACATTATTACAGTGGCCAGTGTTCCATTTCTTAAAGTGGCCAGTGATTTCTAGTCTATGTCTATAGGCAGTAGCCTCTAAAGTGCTGGTGATGGCTGTTTAACAGTCTGATGGCCTTGAGATATAAGCAGTTTTTCGGTCTCTCGGTCCCAGCTTTGATGCACCTGTACTGACCTCACCTTCTGGATGATAGCGGGGTGAACAGGCAGTGGCTCGGGTGGTTGATGTCCTTGATGATCTTTTTGGCCTTCCTGTGACATTGGGTGCTGTAGGTGTCCTGGAGGGCGGGTAGTTTGCCCCCAGTAATGCGTTGGGCAGACCGCACCACCCTCTGGAGAGCCTTGCGGTTGCGGGCGGTGCAGTTGGCGTACCAGGCGGTGATACAGCCCAACAGGATGCTCTCAATTGTGCATCTGTAAAAGTTTGTGAGGGTTTTAGGTGCCAAGCCAAATTTCTTAAGCCTCATGAGGTTGAAGAGGCTCTGTTGCGCCTTCTTCACCACGCTGTCTGTGTGGGTGGTCCATTTCAGTTTGTCAGTGATGTGTACGCCAAGGAACTTGAAGCTTTCCACCTTCTCCATTGTGGTCCCGTCGATGTGGATAGGGGGGTGCACCCTCTGCTGTTTTCTGAGGGTGACGTTGAGTGAGAGGTTATCTTTCCTGGCACCACACTCCCAGAGCCCTCACCTCCTCCCTGTAGGCTGTGTCGTCATTGTTGGTAATTAAGCCTACTACTGGTGTGTCGTCTGCAAACTTGATGATTGAGTTGGAGGCGTGCTTGGCCACGCAGTCATGGGTGAACAGGGAGTACAGGAGTGGGCTGAGCACGCACACTTGTGGGGCCCCAGTGTTGAGGATCAGCGAAGTGGAGGTGTTGTTTCCTACCTTCACCACCTGGGGGCGGCCCGTCATGAAGTCCAGGACCAAATTGCACAGGGCGGGATTCAGACCCAGGGCCTCGAGCTTAATGATGAGCTTGGAGGGTACTATGGTGTTGAATGCTGAGCTATAGTCAATTAACAGTATTCTTACATAGGTATTCCTCTTGTCCAGATGGGATAGGGCAGTGTGCAGAGTGATGGCGATTGCATCGTCTGTGGATCTATTGGGGCGGTAAGCAAATTGAAGTGGGTCTAGGGTGGCAGGTAAGGTAGAGGTGATATGATCCTTGACTAGTCTCTCAAAGCACTTCATGATGACAGAGGTGAGTGCTACGGGGCGATAGTAGTTTACTTCAGTTACCTTTGCTTTCTTGGGTACAGGAACAATGGTGGCCATCTTGAAGCATGTGGGAACAGCAGACTGGGATAGGGAGAGATTGAATATGCCCGTAAACACACCAGCCAGCTGGTCTGCGCATGCTCTGAGGACACAGCTAGGGATGCCGTCTGGGCCGGCAGCCTTGCGAGGGTTAACATGTTTAAATGTTTTACTCACGTCGGCCACGGAGAAGGAGAGCCCACAGTCCTTGGTAGCAGGCCATGTCCGTGGCACTGTGTTATCCTCAAAGCAGACGAAGAAGGTGTTTAGCTTGTCCGGAAGGAAGACGTCGGTCTCGGCGACGTGGCTGGTTTTCCTTTTGTAGTCCGTGATTGGCTGTAGACCCTGCCACATATGTCTTGTGCCTGAGCCGTTGAATTGCGACTCCACTTTGTCTCTATACTGACGTTTTTGCTTGTTTGATTGCCTTGCGGAGTGAATAACTACACTGTTTGTATTCTGCCATATTCCTGGGTCAACTTGCCATGGTTAAATGCATTGGTTTGTGCGAATGCTGCCATCTAGCAACGGTTTCTGGTTAGGCTAGGTTTTAATAGTCACAGTGGGTACGACATCTCCTATACACTTCCTGATAAACTCAGTTACCATATCAGTGTATTCGTCTAAATTATTTTCGCAAGCTACCCGGAACGTAGTGTGATCAAAACAATCCTGAAGCGTGGATTCCAATTGGTCAGACCAGCATTGGATAGTCCTTAGAACGGGTACTTCCTGTTTGAGTTTCTGCCTATAGGAAGGGAGAAGCAAAATGGAGTCATGGTCAGATTTGCCGAAAGAAGGGCAGGGGGTGGCCTTGTAAGCATCCTGGAAGTTTGATTAACAGTGGTCGAGTGTTTTAGCAGCGCGAGTATTACAGTCGATATGTTGATAGAACTTCAGCAGCCTAGTCCTCAAATTTGCTTTGTTAAAATCCCCAGCTACAATAAATGCAGCCTCAGGATATGTGGTTTCCAGTTTGCATAAAGGCCAGTGAAGTACTTTGAGGGTCATCGTGGTATCGGCTTGAGGGGGGATATAAACAGCCGTGGCTATAATGGAGGAAAATTCTCTTGGGAGATAATAATCGGCATTTGATTGTGAGGTATTCTAGGTTGGGTGAACAAAAGGACTTGAGTTCCTGTGTGTTAATACAATTACACCATGAGTCGTTAATCATGAAACACACATCTCCGCCCTTCTGCTTCCCGGAGAGATATTTATTTCTGTCTGCACGATGAACTGAGAATCCCTCTGGCTGGACCGATTTCAACAGAGTATCCCGAGAGAGCCATGTTTCCGTGAAACACAGTATGTTACAGGCCCTGATGTCTCTCTGGAAAGAAATCCTTGCCCTGAGCTCATCAACTTTGTTATCCAAAGACTGAACATTAGCGAGTAAAATACTCTGAAGCGGTGGGTGGTGTGCGTGCCTCCTAAGTCGAACCAGCAGGACGCCTCGAGTGCCTCTCCTCCGCCGGCGATGTTTTGGGTTGGCCTCTGGAATCAGTTCAATTGCTCTGGGGAGAGTGCACAAAGGATCTGCTTCGGGGAAGTCGTATTACTGGTCATAATGCTGGTAGTTCTGTTACCGCCGCTCTGATATCCAATAGTTCTTCCCTGCTGTATGTAATGACACAAAACATTTCCTGAGCTAATACTGTAAAAAAAAATACATGAAAAAAAAAAATACCGCAAAGTTTTCTAAGAGCTAGTCGCGAGGCCGCCATCTCGGTCGGCGCCATCAAACACAATAGATTTGAGTTTTGTTCAGAAATCTTGTACAATGATAATGACTCTGCATGTTGTGACTTTGTTAGTTTTGTTGATTGGTATCTCAGTCCACTTATCTCTTCAGTTTTTGACCATGTTCTGTGGAGAACATAAAAAAAACGGATGTTGTATCACAAGTGACACACCAATGATACGTGGTCAGGTCATTTATTTATTCCATGTTGCTTTCTCATTTGGTTATCGACATTTGCACTATAATATATTGCCTATTGACATGTTTTTGACATACAGTATAAAGTGTGTTCACAGTGAAAAGGAGCTGGGGTCACTTACAGTGTTGATCCAGTCGATATGGGATATGACTTTGGTGAAGATGCTGTGTTTCTGTGAGACGTTACAACCCTGACCAGAGCAGACGCTCAGCACACCATGACCAATCCAGGAGCCATCGGCGTTCTGGCAGTTCAGGAGGCCACCAGAGTCACCCTGGGTCATCATGGAAAAGTTACATTAGGTGAAATCAAGGTGCAAGATGACTCGAGGTATTGGACTGAGATATGGTAAGTTTCAATGTTGTTGGGCTACTTTTGAATGTAGAATTGAGGCCATATTATTGGCTTCACTTGAATTATTTAATTTAAACAATTACCCCCAAACCCCATTCCCTTAAAAACAGCATATTCCATCAGTTAAATGTTTATTTATAATTATTTTCTAATGTTTTTGACATAACGTTTTTTCAAGGTGAACACAGGGTTGTTACGACGCCACCTCCTCCAGCACAGACCAACATGTCAGTGGTCAGGGCCCTCCACCAGTTAGGCTGTGTATAGCTTGCATGGTCAATGACAGGCACGAGGACCTGCTGCAGGATGTCAGTGATGGGGCCTCCATCTGAGGATCACAACAGAATCACAAAAGCTCAGGTAAGAGCCAGGGCTCGGGTCAGTTCCATTTCGATTTTCTTCAATGTGTTTCAATTAGGAAAATGTGGAATTGGAATTTCAGTGTACTTCCTGAATTGATATGGAATTGACCCATACCCTGGTAAGGGTTTCTGAACCATAATGCCCACAGGGTTGGGCCGGGAAACATATACAGTGGGGGAAAAAAGTATTTAGTCAGCCACCAATTGTGCAAGTTCTCCCACTTAAAAAGATGAGAGAAGCCTGTAATTTTCATCATAGGTACACGTCAACTATGACAGACAAAATGAGAATATTTTTTACAGAAAATCACATTGTAGGATTTTTTATGAATTTATTTGCAAATTATGGTGGAAAATAAGTATTTGGTCAATAACAAAAGTTTCTCAATACTTTGTTCTATACCCTTTGTTGGCAATGACACAGGTCAAACGTTTTCTGTAAGTCTTCACAAGGTTTTCACACACTGTTGCTGGTATTTTGGCCCATTCCTCCATGCAGATCTCCTCTAGAGCAGTGATGTTTTGGGGCTGTCGCTGGGCAACACAGACTTTCAACTCCCTCCAAAGATTTTCTATGGGGTTGAGATCTGGAGACTGGCTAGGCCACTCCAGGACCTTGAAATGCTTCTTACGAAGCCACTCCTTCGTTGCCCGGGCGGTGTGTTTGGGATCATTATCATGCTGAAAGACCCAGCCACGTTTCATCTTCAATGCCCTTGCTGATGGAAGGAGGTTTTCACTCAAAATCTCACGATACATGGCCCCATTCATTCTTTCCTTTACACAGATCAGTCGTCCTGGTCCCTTTGCAGAAAAACAGCCCCAAAGCATGATGTTTCCACCCCCATGCTTCACAGTAGGTATGGTGTTCTTTGGATGCAACTCAGCATTCTTTGTCCTCCAAACACGACGAGTTGAGTTTTTACCAAAAAGTTATATTTTGGTTTCATCTGACCGTATGACATTCTCCCAATCCTCTTCTGGATCATCCAAATGCACTCTAGCAAACTTCAGACGGGCCTGGACATGTACTGGCTTAAGCAGGGGGACACGTCTGGCACTGCAGGATTTGTGTCCCTGGCGGTGTAGTGTGTTACTGATGGTAGGCTTTGTTACTTTGGTCCCAGCTCTCTGCAGGTCATTCACTAGGTCCCCCCGTGTGGTTCTGGGATTTTTGCTCACCGTTCTTGTGATCATTTTGACCCCACGGGGTGAGATCTTGCGTGGAGCCCCAAATCGAGGGAGATTGTCAGTGGTCTTGTATGTCTTCCATTTCCTAATAATTGCTCCCACAGTTGATTTCTTCAAACCAAGCTGCTTACCTATTGCAGATTCAGTCTTCCCAGCCTGGTGCAGGTCTACAATTTTGTTTCTGGTGTCCTTTGACAGCTCTTTGGTCTTGGCCATAGTGGAGTTTGGAGTGTGACTGTTTGAGGTTGTGGACAGGTGTCTTTTATACTGATAACAAGTTCAAACAGGTGCCATTAATACAGGTAACGAGTGGAGGACAGAGGAGCCTCTTAAAGAAGAAGTTACAGGTCTGTGAGAGCCAGAAATCTTGCTTGTTTGTAGGTGACCAAATACTTATTTTCCACCATAATTTGCAAATAAATTCATTAAAAATCCTACAATGTGATTTTCTGGATTTTTTTTTCTCAATTTGTCTGTCATAGTTGACGTGTACCTATGATGAAAATTACAGGCCTCTCTCATCTTTTTAAGTGGGAGAACTTGCACAATTGGTGGCTGACTAAATACTTTTTTCCCCCACTGTAACCAGGTTTCCACACAGGAAAATAATAGACAAAATTAGGAAGGTTCAGACACACTGTAGAGATGTCCCAGACCGGTGACATAGCAGGGCTCGTTGTGGGGCAGGGTGAAGCCAGCCTCGGGAAGACAGGCAGCCATGATGGAGTCAGTGAAGGTAACAGGGTCTCCAATTTGATCAGGGCAACGTCATTACTGCAGAATACACACAGGGAGAACCCCCAATGAGCTACCAATACACACATAAAGATGTATAGTCTGACAGCTATCTCCTTCCAAAATTAACAGTAGCTTTAGTAAGTCTGGTAATTTAGTGTGCTAGCTGTGATTGTATTGTTACTGTTGGTATTTACTGGTGCAGTGACCTAACTACTGCTGCTGGTATTTGGTTGGAATTACTGTTGTTTCTTCATAGTGAGATATTCACATGGTCATACAGTGAGGGAAAAAAGTATTAGATCCCTGCTGATTTTGTACGTTTGCCCACTGACAAAGACATGATCAGTCTATAATTTTAATGGTAGGTTTATTTGAACAGTGAGAGACAGAATAACAACAAAAAAATCCAGAAAAATGCATGTAAATTTTTTTATAAATTGATTTGCATTTTAATGAGGGAAATAAGTATTTGACCCCTCTGCAAAACATGACTTAGTACTTGGTGGCAAAACCCTTGGCAATCACAGAGGTCAGACGTTTCTTGTAGTTGGCCACCAGGTTTGCACACATCTCAGGTTTCGAGGCTGACGTTTGGCAACTCGAACCTTCAGCTCCCTCCACAGATTTTCTATGGGATTAAGGTCTGGAGACTGGCTAGGCCACTCCAAGACCTTAATGTGCTTCTTCTTGAGCCACTCCTTTGTTGCCTTGGCCGTGTGTTTTGGGTCATTGTCATGCTGGAATAACCATCCACAACCAATTTTCAATGCCCTGGCTGAGGGAAGGAGGTTCTCACCCAAGATTTGACGGTACATGGCCCGTCTATCGTCCCTTTGATGCGGTGAAGTTGTCCTGTCCCCTTAGCAGAAAAACACTCCCAAAGCATAATGTTTCCACCTCCATGTTTGACAGTGGGGATGGTGTTCTTGGGGTCATAGGCAGCATTCCTCCTCCTCCAAACACGGCGAGTTAAGTTGATGGCAAAGAGCTCGATTTTGGTCTCATCTGACCACAACACTTTCACCCAGTTCTCCTCTGAATCATTCAGATGTTCATTGGCAAACTTCAGACGGGCCTGTATATGTGCTTTCTTGAGCAGGGGAACCTTGCGGGCGCTGCAGGATTTCAGTCCTTCACGGCGTAGTGTGTTACCAAATGTTTTCTTGGTGACTATGGTCCCAGCTGCCTTGAGATCATTGACAAGATCCTCCTGTGTAGTTCTGGGCTGATTCCTCACCGTTCTCATGATCATTGCAACTCCACGAGGTGAGATCTTGCATGGAGCCCCAGGCAGAGGGAGATTGACAGGTCTTTTGTGTTTCTTCCGAATAATCGCACCAACTGTTGTCACCTTCTCACCAAGCTGCTTGGCGATGGTCTTGTAGCCCATTCCAGCCTTGTGTAGCTCTACAATCTTGTCCCTTTAAGAGTGTGCTCCTATTCTCAGCTCGTTACCTGTATAAAAGACACCTGGGAGTCAGAAATCATTCTGATTGAGAGGGGGTCAAATACTTATTTCCCTCATTTAAAATGCAAATCAATTTATAACATTTTTGACATTGGTTTTTATTTGTTGTTATTCTGTCTCTCACTGTTCAAATAAACCTACCATTAGCATTATAGACTGATCATGTCTTTGTCAGTGGGCAAATGTACAAAACGCAGTGTGCATTAAGTCGCTCGCCCAATTCCCAATGGGAAGCAGTTACTTTACCGGCTGAGGATGGGGTTCCAGCTCTCGTGGACGATGTTCTTGGAGGTGCCCATAGGCACAGAGGCCTCCTCAGTCTCTTTCAGGTTGTTCTTGCCCAACTCCACTCTGTAGGTCCTGCTACTGCTGCATATTGACAGAGTAGAGCACACATTAGGAGGTTATTGGTCATTCTATTCATTCATTCATTTAAACGGAGCTATTGTTTTCTTGATGAATAGGGTGCAAGTGTAACCAACCACAGCTAAGCTACTGAATAGTCAAACATCTACTGACACCAAATTTTATTGAGGGCTATTACATGTGCGAACAATGTTGTGTTTATGTTATGATACCAAAGTAAGGCCACCAAAGTGTTGAATGGCTTGAGTTGATGTGTTTAGTACATAATGCAGTGTGCAGCCATGATGATGTTGATCAGAGTGCCACCAAACACGTTTCCACGCACCAATGTCATTGTACTGGAGAGAGATCTGGAATACAGAGGACAGGACAGATAGTTAGCATCTCTGCTGTCAGGTTGAAGTTAGTCTCTTGTGACAGTTAGTCATGAGTGTCGAGATTCAGTTGAAGTGTGAAGTGCAGGGGCTTGATTCCATTTAGATAAGATTCTCCCTTACATTTCTTGTTAACTTAAGGTTACTTTCGTAACCCCGGTTCTGATATTATGAGTGAGTGAGATATCTCACTGCAGGGCTCCCTCATCAGAGGTGTATGATTGGTTCTTTGAGCTACTTAGAGATTCGGTGAATCAAACAGTGAGATATTGAAACGAATAATTGAAAGAGAACTGATAATAATATAGGAATTGTTATGTTCTGTTAATTACTGATATCCCCTTACGGACCAAGCACCCTTGGTCATGCGCAGTGATGCGCCACATTATTATTGTATTGCCAACTAGCTACTTCCTTATTATATCCATAAAGTAATAAGAGCTAAGACACTACAGGAATAGAGATTAAACACCCACCAAGCAAGGAGAATAGTTTTTTTTACCCAAAGGTTTGTAGTACGTATGTAGCAGAGTTGAAGAAACTGTCCGGGCATTGCCAGTTTAGAGAAAAACTGAAATGACACATTAAGGGCTAGATTTGTTTGTGGACTGAAACATGAACACATTCAGAAATGTTTGCTCACATAGACAGATCTCACTGTAGCTATGGAAATCGCGACCAAAGATGCAATTGAGTTGCAAAGCAAAATAAATACTGACCTCCTTTCAGAATGTTCCTGCACAAGTTTTCACGCAGCCGACAGCGCACCCATGTGGCCGAAAAATGCGACAGGGGTGCCAGAGGTGCCACAAAGCAGAGGACTGCAGTTTCAGAAACAACATTTGTCACAAAAGCAATAGAAGGGGCACATTAAAAGAGCATGCAGAGCAAAATACAGTCAAAATACAGGAAAACTGAGAAAATGAAACGGTCTGTGCACTAGCAGAACAATTCATGGTACAATGGAGTTAAACACAGTGACTTCTCCCAGCAGTAGCATAATGGGTGACACCAGAAATTGAAAGCATACCCCTCAAAATGCAGTGTCTATCATTTCCACGACTGTCTACAACGAGTACATCAAGGCAATCAAGCTGAAGAAAACAAATGTGTTGCTGAAGACATACTCAGGACTGAGATTGAGATCAATGGGGGCGTTGCAGGTCAGAGTGAGTTATGGGGAGCAAACACAGCAGTTACGGCTGTATGTTGTGCCTGGAACTTGTCCCCCATTATTTGGCAGGGAATGGCTGTCCAAAATAAAGCTTAACTGGTGTGACTTGAAAAAGCTTCACACGTCCCAGCTTAAAGAGAAAGGCACAGACCAAACACTGGAACACTTGCTGAAGAAATACGACACAGTTTTTAGTGATCAGATGCGAACACTAAAAGGCTTAACAGCCGAACTCGCACTGAGAGATAATGCAACCCCAAAATTCTGCAAAGCCAGATCCGTTCCATAGTCCCTGAGACATTTACATTTTAGTCATTTAGCAGACGCTCTTATCCAGAGCGACTTACAGGAGCAATTAGGGTTAAGTGCCTTGCTTAAGGGCACATCGACAGATTTTTTCACCTAGTCGGCTCGGGGATTAGAACCAGCGACCTTTCGGTTACTGGCACAACGCTCTTAACCACTAAGCTACCTGCCGCCCCCAGACCAAAGGTGGAAGCGAAAATCTATCGCTTGCAGGATAGCTTTATCTTGGCCAGGTCGCAGTTGTAAATGAGAACTTGTTCTCAACTGGCTTACCTGGTTAAATAAAGGTGAAATAAAAAAAATACAGGGATCCTGACGAAAGTGGACAGAAGCAAATGTGCCACACTCATTGTTCCCAATGTAAAGAAAGACAGGTCTATTTGAAAGTGTGGGGACTTCAAGGTCACTGTGAATTCAATGTTGCATGGGGACCAATACCCCCTGCCCCGTCTGGATGACATATTTGCTGCACTAGCTGGTGGGAAACACGTCAGTAAAATCGACTGAAACAGGCTTACCTGCAGCTAACGGTTGAAGAGAGCTCCAAACCGTACCTGACGATAAACACACACAAAGATTTATACAGGTATAACCGCCTGGTTTTTTGGCATTGCATCATCCCCAGCAATTTGGCAACGAACTATTGACCAGATCTGTCAAGGAATCCCAGGAACCCAGTGTATCCTGGATGACATGATCATAACAGGCCGCACAGACAAAGAGCACCTGGCTAACCTGGAAGAGGTCCTGAGAACAATGAAAGAGTACGGACTACATGCAAACTTACAGAAGTATGAGTTCTTCAAAGACAAGATTGTCTTCTGTGGACATGAAATCAACCGCAATGGATTGCCCAAAACACAGGACAAAATTGATGCAGTGGTTCAGGCACCACAACAGTAGAAAATGTGACACAAGTGAGATCTTTCACTGGACTGATCAATTACTGCAGAAGATTCCTCCTAAACCTTTCAGCAGTACAACCTCTCAATCAGCTCCTGGAAAGAAAAGGAAATGGCAGTGGACAGCACAGTGTGAAAATGTGTTTCTTGAGGCAAAACAGCTCCTCGCATCATGTCCTGATGCATTACGACCCCGAACTGCCAGTGAAGTGTCCTTTCACACACACTGAAAGATGGCTCAGAGAGGCCAGTGGCCTTTGCGTCACGAACATTGAATGATGCAGAGAATAACTACTCACAAATTGACAAAGAAGTGCTGGTGTGGGGCGTCAGGAAATTCCTCACATACCTGTATGTCAAGCGTTTCTCGCTGGTTATGGATCACCAGTTGT